ACCTGGGCCAGGGCAAACACACAGGGAAGAGCAAACAGGGGACGACAACAAGAAACAAAGAAACAAACCAGCAAACAAACAAAAAAAACAAACACAGCACCACACACACACACCAAAAAACAAGAAACAGCCACAACACAGCAACACAGAAAACAAACACAAACAGTAGAACACCAACACAATGAAAAGCCAAAGCCCAGCCAACAGCCAACCTAGACCAAGCCAAACCAACCAAGAACCCACAATGCCAGGCCAGGCATCCACATCTGTCAGCTGTTGCTGGCCACCATCAGGAACCTCAAGTCCAGCTTACAGAGACCTATCATGCAAACAAAGGTGAGAAATACATCGCGCAAAATAGAATGCATGTCAAGAAGCCTTCTGAGAGGAAAAAGGAGAAGAAGAGCGCTTGCGCTTCGCAGGAATGCAAGGCACCATGGATCAGGCAGATGCGAAAGTCCAGTGTGCTTGAACTAGAAACTGCAAAAAATAATCTCTTCAGCATCAGAAGGACAAGCTGAATACAGGAAAAGCTTATAGGAAATGACACTGGTTGATTCCTTCATACTAGTAAACACAAGCTGAACGCAAGTTGGTGCGAGTTCCTGCTCTAGTTCCCCCAAGCTGAACGCAAGATGTGGGATGAGTTGGTGCGAGTTCGGGGTTTGGGAGTACCTGGTGCCTGGTGACCTAAAATCAGCACCCCTTTTCAATCCCACCAGCATGATTGGCGATCCGGCATTCTCTGGCCGGCCGACGCCGGCCGCGGGCCCTATATAAGTCTAACATAAGAGGACTGGGATGTCCACATTTTCTGGCGGCCTGTCTTAAATTGTCTTAAAACTCAGCCAGTTCCCAATGAGCGAACATCTCAACCTTTGGGTGTGGTCGTCGCGATTCCCATGGATGCATGCTCCGAAAGGCTCCTTCGCTCTATCTCAGCACCATATGCGACCAGAAACACAACACATCCATCCAGCGGAGTCCTGTACCTTTTGACAGGCTGCCTCCATATCTGCCTTCACTCGCCCAGCCAGCGCCGTGGCCTCCGGCGCCTCGCTGCCCACGCGGCGGTAGAGCTGCTGCACGGCGCTGGAGGCACGGAGGTGCTTCTCCAGTTGAAGGCGACCGCCTTCCTGCGATGAAGGTGCCATGTGGGATGAGAAGGGCGCCAGAGCCCAGTGGATGATGGCTAGTCCAGGCCTTTTCCAGGCGCGGACCCTCTTTGACGGACTGTTTTTGGTAATGGGACATTTTGGGACACACACACCTTAGACATAGACGCCACTAGTTTCCCAACGAGTCCAAGGAGTGCTTCATTCGGAAAGCAGCTTAATTACGCCTTTCCGAGCCTGGTGGGGTCAGGCCTAGAGGAGTCTTTTGGGCATCCATGGCCATCCATCGCCCATGTACAACCTACCATGCCAACCTGAAGGTTAGATCCAAGGGCGCGGGGCCCCGTCCTGTCTAGCCAGGTGTTTCATCTATATAGCATATAGCTATGCTGCGGATACTAAGTGTACAGCTCTTGAAATGTATGTCCATCTATGAGTTGGTATGTATACATGACACTTAGTATAGCGTATACATGCATGAGTTCGTGTCACTATCAGCCTTGCCTTCGAAACACACTACGTTTGAAGGACTGACAGTTTCTGTCAGTCTGAAGGACTGAAAGTGGAGGACTGTCAGTCCAAGGTATCTCGGTGTACTTTTTCTTACATCACGCCCAATCAAACCCAAGCTATCAAACACGCCGATGCTAACATCTTTATTGAGACAGCATGGTGCAACTACTGACCGTCAAAGAAAAGCATACGAAGATGCACGTGGGATGTGCAAAACTCAGCGAAGAGGGGACCCCTACCTATTCTTCATCTCTGGTGATACCGGCCCAATCAGCGGACAAACTGGCCAAATTGACCCCTCCTGATCAAGGAATTTGGTCAACATGCTGCTCTTCTTTTTGAGCTGCGCAGGCAAATAGCAGGCCTGGACCAGGTGTCAGTCGAAAAGCCCTGCAATCTTCATGTCGGTGAATGGAGGATGGTTATGAATCAGTCCGTGCAAAACTAATCTGATGACCTGTCGGTGCCCATTTGGGGCGGGCGCGCAGGTGTCTAACCTTCAAAACTCGCTATCAAGTACAAAGCCATGAAGTCTACTTGAAGTCAACAGGTTGGAGGCCATCGCTATTAGGTTGGAGGCCATTTACAGTAAGTATATACATGTATATACTGTAACTGATGCCATACAAGTCTTAGCAACTCGTATCAAACGGTTCGTTGACACAACAGCGAAGGTAAAACAGAAAACCCTCAATTGGGCATGAACAAACCACCCCATGCCAACATGCACGTGAGCGGTCTTCATGTGAGCAACTTTCGAAGGGGTTCACTGACCTCAGCAGTATATAAATATAGATATGATATCATTATATAGATATGGAATGATATGGAGCTATCCCATCTTTTCACACAAGTTTTGATCATTTCATCGCTCATGTGCAAACATGATTTGGCACGCCAATTTCATTATTCGGTTCACATTGGTTCATTCCATCACAGGCGAAACCAAGCTGGACCTGAGCTTAGCCGAAACTGGACCGTTGGCTGGTGCAACGCCTCTGGACCAGCACCGGCCACGACGGCGCCGGCCTCCCGTAAGCTGAGGGCCTCCTGATGCAGCTGCACCAGCTCCTGTGCACCCTAGACATGCCATGACTAAGACCTGGAATTAGTAGGAAAACCCAATGACCTATGATATGAATCGTAAACATCCAAGTTTCAGGGCAGGTCAGGGCAGCTGGGTGAGGTTGGTGCGGAATCCTCTTCAGACACGTTCAACCAACAGCCTTCCAGGTGTCTCCTGTCGCTCGGTCTCCAGGGTCTGCTGCGTTCGCACACGCTCCCCACTGAGACGTCGTCGGTCTGCATGGGCCTTGTCTGCTGGACATCAACTGGACCAGTTGCAAACTCCATGCATGCAACATGCGGAAAACCGGCACACGGCACATAGATGCACATAGATGCACATACCACTTCATACCACTTTCACACTCTCAGGCGTTGCCAAAAAGCCAATGGAAGAACTCACAACGCACTGGGACCTGCAAGTTCACTTGAAGTCATCACTCTTCTGACCCAAGCACCTGCCTAGCCCAGCTGACTCACACGGCTGGCCTGGTCAATACGCTCCTTGAGATCCTTCAAGCAGCTCTCACGGCCCTGCAGGAGCTTGCCCGTTTCTTGGAGCTGTGTCTTCAGCTGAGCCTCGTCTTCGTCGCTCGAGACGGCTCGAGACCGGGAGCGACCGGAGGGTCGCTCGGGCCGCCGGTGGACCACAGTGTCTTTCCACGCGTGGTTTGCGAATTTGTTTGTTCGCACATGTTCGAGCCCGAAAGCTCCAGCGTGTCCACGCCGGGCAATGCTTGGACTCGGCGACCGGGATGCCTTAAGATGAGCTACCAAGGGGTAGTTAGAGATGTCAGGATCAAGTCTTCTAGAAGGAACTTGAGGCCGAGAAATGGTGACGAAACTAGCAGGGCGGGGGTGAGCATGCAAATGCACACGTCCCAGAGACGTCCCAGGGAGGAGTTGAACCCGGGCGGGGGCCGTACGCACGAAGTGTTCATGCGGCGCTCTCGAGGATTCCACCCCCTCACTTGCTAAATTGCAAGAACTCCAGCTAGCTGGTGCTAGCTTTCGTGAGATCAAACCGGTGGACATTGGTGGACTAATTAGTGCTATAGCTTCTGGTTCAGGATGGTTGGGGAATAACTATTTGGGACATGTCCGGCATGTCTCAATTCACAATGCGCTCGACTCTTTGAACAATCCAATTGCTCTATAGCAACGTCTTCCCATCCGACGACACACCAAACTTCAAAACCAGGCACCAAGTACCACTCATTGACCCGCGTCCTGCGTCGCAAGGCCATCAGCTGTGCCTCACATTGCCGGACCTCCTTCGCTTGCTCCTTCACCTGCACCGGACTCGCCCGACCAGGACCGACCCGAACGGCGCCTACCGCCGCACCCGCCTGCCGCGCCGAACGGCGCTGCGCGGAGCCCACAGTGGTGCGCGGCGTCCGGGCGGAGGCCGATGGGGTCGGAGCTGGAGACGCTTCGTCATCGCAGGCGGCCTGGGAAGGGCTCGGTGATGGACGAACTTCAGAAACCTTTAATGATTTAACAATTTTAACATGCGATATAGAAAATACTAGAATACCTTGTGTATCCTTGTGTTGTTTGTATATGCGCAAAAAAATCAAGACTTTTTGGTCTTGGATTCTGACCGGTTGATGCCATGTACATGATCGCATTGCCACAGGACTCTTTGCACAACATGCATTGCATGCATTTCAATGACATGACAGTTAAGATGCAACAACCAATGTCCTGGGTGACTTTGCTCCAGCGTGTTCCAAATTCCTTTCCTGCTCCTCGTGTCTGACCCAGTGCCAACAGGTCCGACTCCAGGACACCGACGCCAAGGGCCCAAGGGGCATGGTAGGCCAACAGGGCATTCTCCTCCTGGAGCTGTCGCAACTCCTCGGACAGCCTGAGACGCGAGACGCTGCGCCGGCGAAGCCCGGCGGCTGCTGGTCGCTTTTCGCTCGCCGTTTCCTTTTGGTCCCCGCGACCGCGCTGTTCGGAGCTCGACACCAAAGGCACCACATATATATTTGAATTCGCATTTCTATGCTGTTCTTTCGCAGAGTGACACTGATTGCAAGCTTATTTGTTGCTCAAGGAGTGAACCTGCCGACCTAACCAGTCACTTGTGGGGATCTGTGACTGTGACCCCGGGTCCCGGCTATATATTTGTTCCTTGGACTTCATACCTGCGGCACATGGAGAAACACGTTCGATCCCTTTGCAGAAGGAGCAACAACTTTGAGATCGAGGTTGTTTGCCTCCTACAGTACAGGGCCAGGTTGGTGAGACGGGCTTGTAATGTCCACTCTTCCCGGCCCAGAAACTGATCAATCTCGGACTCGTACCTCTCGGCCAGCTCTTCCTCACTGTGAACTATATACGAGAGGTAACCACTCAACACGCTCTGCACTGAAAGCTTGGAGCTTGTTTCGGTCCTCGATAGGCACCTCTGCTTCATGGCATAGAATCTAATGGTGATGCTTCTAATGTTTCTAATTAGTAGTGGTGGCTACAAGTGCGGCACCAAAGAAAACAAAGGACAGCACGCCTGCAATGTAAAATCGAATTCGGTGTGAAGTCCAAACACGCAAACAGCAAATGCGCTGATTGCTTTACAGCTTCGAACAGTGTACAGCCTAGCTGGAAACACTTGAGAACACATCTGACAAACCATCTGATCTACATTCTGCCAACGAAAACATTGGCTGTCACCCATATGGTCCCAAGTGGTCTAAACATGTCTACACTCCGTGGAATTTGAAATGGAAATGGACAATGGTCCAGGGAGTGATTCCAGTCTACACCTGCAGGCCACGGCCACGACTCCGCCGATGGACTCCGCCGATGGTTGCAGCCCAGCGTCCACCTTCGGCGGCCGTTCTCGGTAGCGGTCCAGGAGCGCCTTCAAGGCCAAGCGCTCCAGGCGCAGGTCGTGCAAACGCACCTCGTCCGCCGCCTCCTCCTGGGATGGATGGATGGATGGATGGATGGATGGGGGATATCCACAGTTTGGAATAGAATTGAAAGGTGACTACTGTCAACTGTAGGTAGGGAATTCAGGGAACTCTTTTGAGGATTCCGAACCCAAGAAGTTGAGGATTCCGCCCAGGGCACCGCCATATTCCAACATCAACTCCAGCAACCTCCAACCCCGGACAGGCCGCCGCCTCCTCGGCCGCAGCCTTGAGGGAGTCGTACTCGCCACGTAGCCGCTGGAGCTCCCCGCGGAGGAGCGTGGGATCCAAGGGCGGCGGCTCCGGGTGGAGCTCCGCCATGGCAGCCGTGGCTGGAGCTCTGTGGAGCAAGTAACTGGGGAGGAAAGAAGGTAGCGATCTGTGTGATGACTGATCAAAGGTTGAGATTGCATTGTCAATGTGAAAAGGTAGGCAACAAATCCAGTATGGGCGCGGCATCAAAACCTTCAAAGGTATCACATGGTATCACCAAACCGTCTTGGTCTAGTGAAACAATAGCAGAATTGTGAGCCATGGCCGAGCAAGTTGGGCCCTAAAGTAGGTCGTGATTCCTTCAATGTTCGGATGAAAGTGAGAACTCTGAGGTGCAATCTTCCCATCTTCGGTTCAGAGGCGCTTGGTTTCGTCGCTACGTTTCAACCCTGTTCGCTCAAGATCTTGAGCCGGGCGAATCCGAGAAAACGCACGATGACTCCGGGCGATTCCAAAGACCAGCGAGTCCGCACAAGGACAACGAAACAGCCGCTGACCGCCGCTGACGAACTGCTTGCCTTCTGACAGCCTTCAACATCCCAAAAATCAAATAACTGTACATGGAGAGTGTTTTTGGTGGAATCTGCCAAAAAGACGCTGTACTCTCCAACAAGCCAATGAGGTTTCAGGTTCCAAGCAATAGCACGCGCTGGTTGTAATGAAGGCACACCCTCCTGTGGCTTCTTGCTCTCGAGGAAAGCCATTCAGTGCAGCATCTTCGCGGGATCAGCAAATGTCACTGAAATGGAAGGGTTACAGTATGTTACAGTAGACTGATTAGACTCAGACTAGACTTGCAAAAAGAACCTATGTTTAATTGAAATCCATCCGTTTCTCCTGTCCAAATCTTGTATAATATATGGAGGCCTTTGGCACAAAAAAACAACCTACAACCAGCAATATCAGCAACGACTAATTAAGATTGATTCCGTTGATTCATGAAGTAGAGAGGGGGTCGTGAAATATAGAATACCTAAACCCGGAAAACCAGCATGCTCCCCCGAAAACCATTCTATGCAGCAGTTTTAGACATGTTTTGACATGTTCAGCTGTGTTGAAATTAATGCTGGGGGCAACAAAGCACAGGCAATAGACCCCCCTCAAGTGCGCTTACCTTGTTCCTGGCCTCTTACTTTCCTAGTGGTCTTGGCAAGCGCTCCCTATATAGGATCAGCATAAATCGGTGTTCAACAATTAACAGCGAGCCGAAAACCAACATCAAGTGCTGCTCGGATTGGGACACGTTTGAGCCATACACATTGGAAGTTCCGGTTCAACACCCTACCACAGCCAAAGCGGCGCTTTTCTTCACCCCCTCAACACACGGCCTGTGCTGTCCAAATGCCGCAAGGGCTGACTGGCCGAGGAACTGACACCAACTAGGACCTAAAAGCTTCCAAACAACAAGGCAGGCCTGGCAGGGTCTATGAGATAAGAATATTAATCAATATTGAATCAAATTGAATCCATGCCCTTTCGCTAGCCCTATGGTTGCACGGTGCAAAGGGCCAACAGGGTCAAACTGTTTTTAAATCGGTACCTCAAAAGGCTTCCTCCCTCGGTGCCTCTTAGAGGCGCATCAACTCCGGTAGCGCGCTGATTGGGTGCGTTTGATCTGGCATGGTGAATGTCCACACACATGGTTTAAACAAACATGTGTTTAACTGGTGGAAACATGCAGAAACAAACCTGCATCATCCTTCGTATCTGTTTGGTGCAAGGTGTGTGGTTTATCTATACATTTCTTCACTTCCAACGTTTACACCCCCACAACACCCACGGGATTTTGTGTGACGTGACTTGGGAGGACAAATCCATAGAGAAGAGGACCAGCAAAAGCGTAGTTCACCAGTTTGCAACTTGGATTCCCCAAGTGGCCAACCACAATGACTAACAGTTATGTAACAGTTTATCTGTTATAGTTCTGTTTTCTTTCTGAACTTACTTCGCAGTGGTCCTCTTTGAGGAGGCTTCGCTTTTCAAAGGCCTCGCTTTTGCCCTGGGCCGGTCTCTCGGTTCAATGTACACGTTGCCGCTTGGGGTTGGAGCTGGGAGACGAGGAGGGAGAGGCCTCGGCGGGTTGTGGAGGGTGAAACACAGGCCGCAACAAGTGGTTGATGGGACGACCAATCCGGAGTCGGGGTATAGATCTCAGAAACGACCTCAGTGGAGCTTAAGCCATAGAGTTCGTAGCAAGGAGTGACTGCCGCGCATGCCACATGATACAGTACCACAGAGGTCGCGCTCCCTGGGCTTGATCGGTGTCTTTCTCCAAGCTCGAGTAGCTCCATTCGCACTCCAGCTCAGCAGCTCGATGCTCTTTTGACTGCCAGAGCATGTGTCATACTGTTGGCAGTGCACGCCGAGCTTCTGCAAACGGTCCCCACTTGGGGCCCACTCGGAGTCAACGAATCTCGCTCAAGACGATGGTGTTCGTCGTTAGGCGTCACCGTCATCACCGTTCGATCCACTGGAAATCACCAACTGAAAATCAAACCCACAACTAACATGTTGAAGAGTTACTGGCAAGTGGTTGGCCTCGGCTTCCGGTTTAGAAGGGAATATGGAACACCACCAGCGAAGTTAAGACCCTTTCTTGTCGGTTTTTGCAGCCACCACACACTCATCTGATTGTTGCTCGATCCAACATGCCACCACTCAACCCACAGCTCGGCACAGCGCGGTACGCACTGCGTTTCCTCTAGGGCGGCCCGGCACGTCCTTCCATGATCTTCGCATATGCGGCTTCCTCTCGCGGGAGCATCTCCCCCCTTGCTTCAGCAAAAGCAAAAGGACCCAGCCAAATTTGGCACCAGACCTGCCAGCCCATTTATATATATATATATATATATGAACATAGGAAGTCAAAGCCCAAATCAGAAGCATCAAGCATAGGGTATCCAACCCATCCGTCAGTGTGGGGTGTCAACATGAAAACTTGACAAACTGGCGCCTGCATCCTACCACCTTGAAGCATGCACATAACGATTATATAATCAGCACTTCCTGAACAATATCAATCAATATTCTAAGTGCTTATCAACTTTGAAGATTGCCACTGAATGTTTGTTATTATAGGTTACAATTTGTTATAATAACGGTTACCAGGCTAGGGCCCCATGGTTTGAGAACAAATGGCACTGTGAGGTCAACTTCTTAAATCATTTGATAAAGGTTTGGCTCGAGCGCCCCTGTCCACCGACCCAGTGTAGGCCCGCGATGCGGTCTCGAGCTCCTGCTGCTTGAGCTGAAGCAAGAACTTGGCAATGGCCTGTGAAGGACGTGTTTTTGGGGCGAGCGACGGACGGAAGACATGCTGGACATGCAATGGCAATGGAGCCGATGGATCAATGGGGTCTCTGCAGGTCTTGGAGCGCATGTCAATGGAAGAACAACATACAGGGACTGTGCATGAAGCAATGGGTTGAACACCCCAAAGCTCGCATCGATCCTCTCGACCAACGATCGCATCGACCGCCAGGGACGTCCAGCGATCGCATTGCTTTGGGGTGTTACCCGTTTCGCGACCCGCCAGTTGATAAGTCTGAACCAAACATCCAGATCGACAGGAACACGGATCACCTCGGCGGCCCAACTCCGAGTCCCATGCCAAGCCACTATAGTAACAAGAAGCTACGTTCGGGGCTCCTGGCATCGCTACGACCGGAACCAGAAATCTCATGACCGATCGACCCCACCCGGAACTCTTCGGAGACCGACACCGCATCCGCCCGATTCGCTACCGGTCTCGCCCTTCGACCTGTCTCGCCTCCGCGACCTCCTCCGGTCGGTCTTCGTGGATGTAGTGCCCAGCGTGAGGGATCACCTCCTCAGGTGGTCGACACTTCGTCTTCCGCACCCATTTGGACCCCAATTGGGGTGGTTTTTGTAGACCTACTATCTTACACGCTAACTGTGGAAGCTGTATATTGACGTGTATGCTAATTGAAAACGAGGTTTCGACGTTTCGGAACGCCTTTTCACCTTGAGCCAAAACACGTCATGAGTCACGTGTCTGCAGTACTCTAGCGGAGTATTTATGGGCTGTACATGCAAACACTCCTCCTCTTGCAAAGCACTGTACTGCTGCGCAAGCTTAAAGAAAGTATGTGAAACCTCACGCTGCTAAGCCACTCTCAGCTGTGGTAGTGGAGCTTGGCCAGGGACCTTACTCCAAAACATCCAACTGTCCTTTGCTTCGCTTGCTGAGGAATGCATACTGCAGGTCCTCCATTGTTTTGCGAAGCTGCACCCCAGGGACCGATTTGGTCAACACATCGGCTTTGTTCTTAACACCTGGAACGTGGTGCACTTTCAAGTGGCCTTCGGCAACCCTTTCTTGCAACCATAGGTAACGAGTTTGGATGTGTCTGGCTTTACCCAAACCCACTCGGTTGACAGTTCCTTTGGCTGCGTTGGAATCGCCTTCTATGGTGACTTCCAAATCCAAACCAAGATCTGCACATAGGCTTTGGAGTCCTAAGCCTACAGATCCGCCCTTCACGAGTGCGTAGTATTCGCTCTCGCCTGTGGAAAGGGCTATGGTGGATTGGATGTTACTGCTGTGTTTCAGCACGTGTGTACCATAAATGGCAACCATGCCAGTCGTGCTTTTGCGTATCACAGCATCTCCACCGTGGTCAGCGTCGACCTGGACCCTCAGCCTCGAGGGTGCCTGTTGTGAGCCAAAACATTGCCCAACATCAGGGTATTTCTTTAAGTACCTGATGAGACGTTTCAAGTCTGCAAGTTTGGCTTCTGTCGGCGACACCATACCTCGAGCAAGGTTCTTGACTGCGTGTCCAATATCGAGTCGATCTTGGGACAGATACGCAGCACGCATCGTAGCTGAACGATACTTCGATGCCTCGCTCTTATCAAGCAGCGGACTGCGGCTTTCCAGCATCTGCTGATCTGCCGACTTCTTGACATCTGGTGATTCCACACCATTTGCCTTTTCCAGGCCAAATGCCTGAATCAAAAGATCAACATGTCTCCGATCGGCTTCGATCACAATCGATCCTTTGCCGTTCTTCTTTTCGACTCGGATCAACCGATTCAGAAAATGGGCTTCTGTTCGGTCTCCATCCTCGTCTCCAAGAATTCCGAGACATTTCAGCTCATAGGCATCTTTGAGGACTTGGCTGAGCTTCTCCAAGTGTTGGGCGTCTCCGAGTGCTAGGAAGTCATCTCCATGCACCATCACTCTGACGTCCCAAGCTTCTTGGTAGAAGACTGACGCATTCGACAACCCTCTGCGGAAACCAGCCTTCTGCCGAGTCTCTGTGTAGTGCGTCTGCCAGATATTTGGAGCGTCCTGTGTCCCATACATCGACTTCACGAGAAGTCCACAGGTTCGTCCATCTTTGCTGGCTTCGTCCTCAGGCGGCAGCTCTATGTAGATCTTTCTCTTAGGAGTTCCATAAAAGTGTGCTCGTGAGATGTCCCACAAGCCCAGCTTCAGCGGCTGGTTGTGGCAGGACTTTCTCTTTGTTGCCCACAACGAGCACAGCAGTCTCATCGCCTCTAGTGGGGGCGTGCTGCTGAAAAGCAAGTTGGCTGGCAATTGTTCTTCTTTGGTCTTTCTTGCCTTTATCTCACGCGCAACTAATCGGCTCCTGTAGTTCGGGTTTGTTGGATCTCCCTTGTTGGTGTCCAACCATCTGACTGGAATCGGGGGCTTCCCCGTTTCCTCAAAACATTCGGCTCTTGGCCGGGGCACATAAACGCCATGCTTCTCTCTCAAGTAGTCCATCTCAAGGCGTCTTGCCTCCTTCACTTTCTCGGCTGGCAAAATGCCGCCGTTAACATCATCCATGTAGACCTCTTCGAACTCTGGGTCCATCAGAGGCATCTCTGGAACTGGGCCTGCTGCGAACAGATCGAAGGTGTTCAACTCACCTTTCTCTGCTAGTGTGTCACGCAGGCTCCTCAGCACTGCTTTCACAAGCTGCGGTGGGTATACCGCTGCCTGCCTAGCAATGCCTCCGATCAGATGGATGCGTCGGTGCCATGGTCCTTTGCCCGATTCATTCGAGCAGACTCCTTGCAAGACTCGGGCCAACCCTTCATCGTTGGTCATCCAACCGGTCTCCTTTCTCACATAGCCGGTGCCTTGGAGTCCTCTTCGGTCGGTGGCCATCATCTGCCACCTGCACATTGGACCTTTCACCACAAACACTCCATCTTCTTTTGCTAAGGCCTCAACCTCCTCATCTTTCCAGCTGGTCGCGGCCCATGGTGCCTCTTGGAGGAATTTGCGTCCAGAGCGATGCTGCTTGACATACAGCTCTAGGCTCGTATGAAGGTGATGGACGGCTTCGTCCATTTTCTTCCTCTGACATCTGGCGCCATGTTCCTCCAGTTTAGATTCTGGAGCTGTGAGAACATATGGCACGGAGGCGAACCAGTCAAGAGAGCCGGTTCGTCTCTCTCTAAGATGTCGTGCACCTCTTGGACGTCTTCGGACTTGTTCAAGTCCCAGTATGTTCCATCTTTCTTCATTTCATTCAAGTCGACCGCAAAACCCGGTCGCAACTTGTACCGCTCTGCAAGCGCGGTGAACCTCTTGGGCGAGTAGATTTCCATGACATCTAATCTACTGCTGACATCTGCATACTCAAATGCGCGATGTCTCCGATCTCTTGCTCAGTGATCTCGATGCCATTCGCCTCATAGGTTCCTTGAATGATCTTCTTCAGATGCTGCTTTGCGATCTCCTTCTCTTTTACCAAGCTTGCTGCATCTGGCTTCCACCCTGCTGGTGGTGTTTCTGGAACATGGGAAAACTGAGACGTTTTCTTTGGACTCTCTTCCACTCTGGGATCAAGGTCTTCTACGGCAGTCTCTGCCGTCCTCTTTGTTCCTTGCGCTGGATTCGGCTTGACCTTTGCCCCGGGTGGATCTATTCTAAGTTCTCCTGTTCTCTTCTTGGGCTCTGTTGCTACCTTGGCTTTCGCCACTGGTTTCTTCTCTATCTCGGCTGCTTGCCTCTTCATCTCATATCTCTCTTTCGGGTCATCGGGATAGGTCTTCTCACCCTTTGCCGCTGTTGGCGGCGGGCTTCCCGATCCCGCGCTCTTTGCTTCTTCTTTCTTCTCTGGTTCTCCGGCCGCGTCTTCGGCCGTGATGTCGGTGTCCTTGTCGGCCACGACTTTCGGCTTCACAGTGTCAAGCTGTTGCCGTTCTTTCCTCTTCTTTGCATGGGCTTCAAGTCTCGCTTGCCCAGCTTCATCCTTTTCCATTGCTTCGGTGATCCTTGCTCTGCACGCCTCTGTGTGCGGCAAGGTCATCCTCTTGTCTTCCAAGATGCACTTGCATCCTGGGCAGCCTTCGGTGGCTCCATGCTTGTGCACATCTTCTCTCCTGATGTACACTCGACTCTGTTGTGGTGGTGCCACTCGTTCCTCCTTGGGAGGTGGTACCACAAGACGCTCTTCGAGCATCAACTGCTCACCGGCAGGCCTTGCCGCGGAGTGCTCCCACGGTAAGCCCCGCAAAAGGTCCCAATCGCTTGGGTCCCAGCGGTCGGCTGAACTCAGCCGCCGGATTCCTGTGCCTCTGCGCACGCCATCGGCCGTCATTACCAAAATGGATCCTGTTCGGCCATGGTGACCTACATAGCGTCCTTCTTTCAGGATGCGAACTCCCTCGCCTACTTCTCTAAAGTATAGGCGTTCACCAAAAGCTATGGCGGGTTTCCGCCACTGCTTTCCACATCTTCTGGCCTCAGGCGTTCTGCCATCTTGACCTTTCTTGTACCTGCTCAACAGGTCTCCTGCCTGCCTTGGCAGCCATGCTAATGCAGGATCATCATCTTTGAGCTCTTTGCCGAGCTTCTCTTCCAACGCGCTGCGGAGGACTTGTACTTGACGTTTGACCTCCTTGCAGGCGTTCTCTGCCAGGCCATTCGCTTGATGGTCTCCTACTGGCGACTCTTCCGAAATCCAGTCTATGCAGGTTTCTTTCGCTGCTGCCTCTTTCAAGGCTACCACGGATGGCTCGCCATCCGACTTGAGAACCACCCTGCGGTGTCCCAAGTTCTTCAAGAAGTTCGCCACGAACTTCACTGCATACGGCGTTGCTCCCTTCGAGTCCACGAAGGTCGCCGCTAAGGACTGTGTCCTCTCATCTTTCACCACGAGGATCGGCTTTACTCGCTCGTCCTCCACACCGCCTCGTGACATGAACGTATAGTCCATTGCCACTGTGGGCACAAGGCTCTTTGCCTTCTGTTCCTCGGACCTCGTCCGATGCGGCTGTCCTACAGCCCGTCCAGCAATACAATGCCGGCACCAATTCCGATACTGCACATGGCCTGTCGCCTCGTGCTCTTCGATCTCAGCCGGAGTTGGATCCTCCGGTGCTCTTATCTGGATGGGTTTCTCAACCTCATCAACTAATTCCAACTCATCATCCTCTTCTCGCCCCTCTGGACCAGGTCGGCCTGAATCCATAGAGGCATCTCCTCTTTCTCCTGCGGCGTTCAACTCTGCAATGCCACAGCATTCCTTGGTCGGTTTATACCCTGGCTTTCTCAAGTAGAAATTGTACACTCCCTGCTCTTGATACACAGGGATCCAACTTCGCTGCTCTGCAGCGCTCGCTTTCTCCAGGATCGCCTGAACAGCCTTTCCAACTTTGGACCCTTGCGGAATCAAGTTTCCGCCATTCACATCAAGAACTGCAATCCTTCCAAAGCCTAAGCACTTGGATGCTGAAATCAATGGCTTGTGAACATCGGCCATTGAGCCTTTCACGCGGCATTTGTTGCCGCTCTCGTCGAACCCCTCAAAGGTTCCAATGCCCTGACTGGGCACCAACTCTCCTGATGCAGTCTTGAAAACAACCCCGTTGCCTTCACTGACAACCACTCGGTCCTCCCAGCCATTCGGGATGGCTGTCTGGGCTGCTCCAGTGTCCAGGTTAAACTTCATCCATTCTTCGGCGGATGAAGCATCCGCTATTCCAACTCCACTCAAGTCTGCCATGAGCATTCCGACATCTGCTTCCGGAGCTGGCTCAATGCCATCATCCGGATCGTCCATCTCTTCCATACTTCCTGCGGCTTTACCTTTGCCGCCTTTTCCACCTTTGCCTTTACTGCCTTTGCCACCTTTTCCACTCCTGTCTCCTTTGCCTGAACCTGACCATTTATCGCCTTTTCCATCCGGCCGTTTCTTGCTCCAGCAATCGGCCGCTCGGTGTCCCTTCTTACCGCAATTGTAGCAGGTGATATCTTGAGCCGTACTTGAGCCTTTACTTGATTCTCCTTTGCTTGAGCCTTTCTTTCCATCACCTTTGACCTGTTTACCTTTTCCTTTACCTTTTCCTTTGACCAGGCTTGCAATCCATTGTCCGATCGAATCGACGTCCATGGGTTGAGGTCCTTGATAACTAGAACTCGATGAACCTGGTTTTGGAACAGATGACTTTGATGTGAGAGATGATTCAATGACAAGTTCAATCTCCTGTTTGATCAATGAATAGGTTGTCAATCTACTCTTGTTCAACAAAAGATGTTTCTCCAAATCTGGGGGTACCAACATCTCCAATGAGGCGGACTTGATGTCGTCCGATAGGGTCTCTCTAGCTCCCGATGCGTTTCGCCGGGCTTCGTACCTCCTGATCAGCTCTTCCAGCTGTTCGATGGCTGGCCTCACGGCGGTCCAAGTTTTGACCCGCTCTGGCTGGAGGATAGCCCTGAGGATGTTTCGCTTTCTTCCCGAAGTACGGGGATCCCATCGTCGGTGGACTCTTCGGTATGCCTCGAACCCATTTGAGGCTCCTACCATGAGATCTTCCGTTTCGCCGGAAGTGAGAGTCAGGAGGACACGATGAATTTGATCAGCTGTATCCTCTAGATCGTCGATGGCTGCTATAGTACCAGTCCCAAACGCGGACTCCATGGCACTCATTTCAATCGCGTCTTCCTGCTCCAAAATATACTCAAGAACTTCAATGAACTCTCTCCCAAAAGTGGTTATGAACAGGTTGTCAATACTCCTGGCCCACTTTCGGAAATCCCCTTCAACGTTCCCAAAACTCTCAGGACGTCCCAGACCTTTGGTGTCCATAAGTATTTGGGACTTTCGTCTATCTTCCTTTTTCTCAAGGCTCTTAGCCAGTTCTCCTACTGCTGAAGCCAACATTGATACTCCACCTTGAGACTCCCTCAACACCTGGTTTTCCTGTTCCAAACGTGCCTGGTTTTGCTGAAGCTGCAAAGCCATATCAGACAACTGTTGAATCTGCTGTTCCAATGCCATGGTTCCCTAATCTCAACCCCCTGAAGGCGCTGCTCTCGCACCTTTTCAACTGCGGACGGTTCGTCCGATCTCCGGCCCCTCTTCTTTTGTTTCTGCGGTCCTTTCAACCGCTGAAGTTGTTTCTGCGGTTTTCTCAACCGCTGGAGTGGTGCTTGCGGCTGGATCCGCCGCTGATGTGGCTGGCAAAGGCTCTTTCTCCTCCTCCTCTTTTTCTTTCCTTTCTTCTCCTGCTCCGCTCGGGGCGGCAGGAACTGCCGCTCCCGAGGGTCCCGGCTCCTCTTCTTCGGAGCTTTCTACTTTACTGTGTCTCTCTTCCTTTAGGCGGAGTGCTCGGTCCCTGTCACTCTCACCGGACCCTTTCGCTACCATGAAAACGAGGTTTCGACGTTTCGGAACGTCTTTTCACCTTGAGCCAAAACACGTCATGAGTCACGTGTCTGCAGTACTCTAGCGGAGTATTTATGGGCTGTACATGCAAACACTAATGACAGTCATATATATATATAATATATAGAATGACTGTAACCATTCATTTCATATAATAACAATAATAATATCATATCATATCATATCATATATGATATGTATATGTATATGTATATACACACTATATGATCATATATTATATACTTCGCGCGGTACTCTTGGACACCACTCCTTTTGCAATCGTGTCCCACCAGCGCCGAAGCGTCCTCCTCCGGCGCCCTGACCCCGCCGCGCTCCGACGGTGCGGAGAGAGATTCCGCCGAGGCACCAGGCGAAAGCGGCCCTGCATGTGCGCTGCCTCCAACCGTGCGTCCAGGTGCTCGAGGTGTTGGACCAGCAGCAGCTTGGGCAAGGGCAGCTTCACAAAGAGCTCGGAAAGGCCGGTGAACCATGGCGCCATGGTAGAGCAGGTGACCTGGAGGAGTGTTTGGGTGTTTCAGGTGTTTTTTTGTGAGGATGAGGACGGGGTGAGGGGGGGGGATTGGAAAGAACATGGGGAACTGATTTGCTACAATGTACAACAGTCTGAACTTTGTCATTCAAGAATTTGAAGATGCGAAGCAAGTTGGTTGCGGGAGGATTCTCTCCCAAAATTGTCAAGAAAAAACCGTGGGAATCAATGGGAACGGGGATCTCATTTCATTCATCTCGGCGGTGTTTACCTGAACCATCCCCCATCAAACCTGGGACCCTTGACACGGCAGCAAGATCGTGCAAGAAAAAGTGTGACCTACCAATTGTCAATAGTGGGGGTGATCTATACTCCATAGCGAATCAATTCCATGGGGGGGTTATTCATCAAAAGCATTCCCTAGGCCCCCAACTGCTTACGCCTGTTCCAAAAGCCTTCTCAGTAGTTTTTCAGGAGGACTAGGGGTTATGGCGGATGATGGAATTTTCAAGTCACACCTGGCTGCACGAGCTTGGAGACATCGACCTCGGCCCCAGGCCTTGGAGACATCGGTGATCCAAGACCAGGAGTCCGCCTCAACGGCACACGGCGACAGCGATGGTGTCTTGGACGGGGCTGCAAGGAGTTCAGGTCCAAAGCTTCATGCAATGATCTGACTGGTGACTCTGCACGAAAACCATCAAACGACCCGGTCATCAATCAAAGGGGTGACTGCCGGGATCGGACGAACGGATGAGGAGTGACGGCCAGCGGCATCAGGATTCGACCCTCAAAATGCGCCATTGATATTCCATTTTTTGCATCACCCACTTATAGTCAACAATTGTGGTTCTGGCCGTCATCAAATGATTAAAAACCCCGCTCCCCCCATAGCACCGGGGGGCGGGGTTACATTAATCAGGATGCCTCAGAAGTCCCAAAGGCCGTTGTAGCGACATGTAGCGACCGAACGCACGGAAAACACAATTACTGTATTTTTTTAGCTCCACTTTGCACCGATTTTCACCTTCGCCCCTTAGCTCCCTCCACGCCAGTGAGATGGCAGTCGGGTGTCCCTGGCCTCATGTACCAGGCGATGAGGGATGTTCTCCCTCGCCGCCTGGGGATTTGTGAGCATCCCTGAGGACAAAGACCATGCGATGGCATCCTGCGAGGTGCATCAACGTGCAAGACCTTTGTCATTTGTCTGTGTCTGCATGTGTCTCACGTGCGCAGTGAGTGAAGATGAATGAAGGATGCACGTTAAAGCCTGGATATTGTGTGTTATCCATGAGATCGTGGGGCTCACTGAATTTAGAATCTCTTGTCCTAACAAGCCTAATTCGGGACCTTCACGGGTTCCGCGACCCACACAATGGTTATAAAACGCCTTGAGGTGGGTCGCACTCCTTGCGGTGTACACGGTTTACAGTCTTAAACAATAGGAGGATACAATTCGTTGCGGAGCACCTGGATGATCTCCGACGAACCCAGTGAACCCCGCCGGCCACGACGAGCTGCGCTCCTCCAGGCTGCTGAAAGTGCTAGGTCTCGCCTGGAGGCCGTTCAGGTGTGTGACACATCCAGCTATTCGGAGCACATCCAACCCTGGTAGAAGTCCATGACGGCGTGAACCGGCGGAGGGGGGATTTGATCCAGGGCGGGGGGGCCCCCCCCCGCGACGAACAGAATCATTTCTTACAGGACCAAATTCAATGCACAATCCCAACTCCTGATTGCAATACATGTTTGCTAAAGCAAGGAGAACTCAGGTAGCTCAAGCTACCTTTCGTGACATAGCAACATCATAACAAGTATTCAAGGTATTCACTAATGCCTATACTATATCCCCTGCTAAACTTGCAAGAATGCAATCCATCCAGCGCTTCCAGCGTTTCCCTCTCGCATCCACCACCCCTGGTTAAAAAAACACATCAAAACACCGGACCGGAGGACACCAGTTCGGAGGACACTCCTTCCCTCCTCTCCTCACCGTGCCTGCATCCACGCCATGGAGCGCGGCAAGGCTTCGGTGGCCGTCCCTTCCACCGACTCTAAAAGGACCACCGCGCGCCTCGGGGGTGCCCGACAGCGCGAGTCGGGGCAGACTGGGAGAGACTCGATGGCAGCACTCTTGGCGTTGCTTTTTTGGGGGTGGCATTGGTGAGAGACGCCAAAAGACAAGCATGACACATGGCGCAATGTAGAAGAGTGATGAAGAGTGATTGGGCAAACATGCACGGACTGTAAATACATCCTTGGGGCGGCATTGCTGCTTGCCCTACTCGCTAGCAGCGCGATCTTCCACACGTGACGACTGGTCACGTGATCCATTCTTCCGAAACGAGTTGGGTTTGGCCGCCGAACACATGAATCATCACATTCCAATAAGCCTTCACAACACTGCATCAAAGCCCGGGTGCTGGCGAAAGGACATGTCCACCTGCACCAAGAAGTTGTGTCAAAAGGCACACCACATCACACCACACCACTATTCCAATGCTAATAGGTCCCACTTCACCCAAAAGTACGTGCTTTCACCTCACCCCACCACCCCACCACCTGTGCATACCTGTGCTCCCGGCACGGGCAGCGGCGGTCGGAGCTTGAGCGCCGCCTGTGCCGCCCGTGCGGCAATGGCGCCGCCCAAGCTGTGGCCGCAAAGGATGAGGCCCTCACCCTCGACTCGGTCCTCAGGTGCCAAGCTGGAAGAAGTTCGGAGCTCTTCCGGCTCCGGAGCAAGAGTGTTTTGGACTTGGAGTGGAGATCAGGGCATGTCAAACTGTGGTGTCTCAGCCTTTTTGGTGTTTGGGAGTGTGTACAGGAGATCCTCACCAACACAAGTGATTGGAAAACGGCTTTGTTCTACCCTATGGATGTGTTGCAGCGGTTTCCCATCAGATGTTGAATGTTTCAGTCAATTTGTTTCATCAATACCTGTTACATATCAACAACATCAGGCAAGTAATCAAACATCACAACACCGTCATGAAGTTGGGATGACTTATACAGCTGCATTCAAAAAACGATGTTCGCCTCTTATCAATTGCTTGGAGCTTGGACCCCTCGACATCGACTCAATTTGCAGACACGCAGCGCTGATGCGTTTCACCAGCTCAAGCACGTCTGGGAGCAGTCGGTCGACGCCTTTGGCAAAGGCAGAAAATCCCTTCAGGCTCCAGGTGGCTTGAGGCCTTTGGTGGTGTTTCTGGTCCTCCTTCTACAACCATCGCATGGGTGCGTATTAGGAGACCTCCCGAAGATCCCGAAGAAAGGAAATTGGGCCAGGGATGGCCAGGGGGTCTCCCTCTTAAATACACTCCATGTATACCCCTGTATACCCCATGTTGTTGGACCACCTCTGCCACTTGTTGGATGAGGGTGCTAAAGGCATCAAAGCCTCTGAAGGGTCATTCTGCTGTGTAAACGAATTCCAGGACCTCCCAAACCCAGAAACTAGCTCGACAATGCTGTAGCAAAAACAAATTCCCTGTGAGAACTGCTTTGCGTTTTTTGTCGCTGTCATATGGGGAAGAGATTACAACCTTTCTCTCTCTCTCTGTCAGTGTCCACGTCTAGTTACCCGTCTTCCCTCATAAAGATGTCTAAAACTGCCCTATCCCAACAGCACCGAATTGTCTCTCTTAAGGAATGTCAAAGCAACACGCTAGGAAATGTTTGATCATTGCCGGATAACGGATAACAATCTAGGTGTTCCTGTCCCACGTCCGTAGCTACTTAGATCATACTGTATTGGATGCCAAAGTCGGAAACCAAGAAAATCAACCGGATGGACGAATTGTGACTCGGACTAGGTAACTATACCCAGACGCTCCATTTACGGCATATTTTGAGGGGTCAATGTAGGCAAATATTCCATACATGGAGTGTCTCGGATATGTATATGTACATACATGTATATATATATATGATATATATGTACCACGTATATGATGTCGAACATGATAGTGTATCTATGTGTATCTTTCCTGTCTACAGGCCCTGTCCGACTGACGGCTCTTGCCCAGGCCGAGCCACGCAGGCTTTCGTCCAAGGACTCCTCGACCACACAGCCGCCGTGGCCCCGGAGGTCGGCGGACACGATGACGTTGCCTGGCCACGCGTGGACCGCTCGAGCCACGCTCACCACGTGCGGACGTCGCGGGTCGCGTTACGCAAAGAAAAGAAGTTTTACATGCAGGGATGGGGATTTTGTTCGGAAGTCCTTCACTCTATGTTTGAACACATTGTACCAGCAACTGGAGGATTTGTTCAGTTTGTTCGATGTTAGTAGCGGGGTCTTCGCCCTCAAAAGCGCCTCCCAGGCGTTCATCTCTCAGCAGCCGCCGTGCCACTGGAGCCCAACAAAGCGCCACGTCACCGGCGCCGTGCAAGCATAGGACCTGGAAGACAGGGAGAGGGATTCACGCTCAAACTTGAGAATGGGACACATGAAAGGCAGAGATAGAGAGATGTTTAAGCTGCTAGCGTTGAGATGCCCCAACCTCTCACTGAAAACTATTAAGGCGTCTTCTACTGAACACGGGAAAGGGTAGAGGCCCGTATACGCCACCTTTCATGACAAAGGATTCTGCTTTCGCTTTCTGCCAGGACGGTGTCTTCCCATTTTGTGAACGAGCCGTGGTGGGAGCCCCATCCTCAATGCTCCAGTAGCTACCTGGCACGCCCTGGTATGGTCTGGCCAAAAGATAGGTGGGGTCCTGAAGTCCATGAGCAATAAGGACAATAAAGGCAACACAAGGTCCCCATCCAAAAAGACATCCGCCAAGTGGGTTCAACTTTGTGTGAGCAGGAGGAGTGCTGGAGGCAAAATTTGTGATACATCTCTTTCCAAGCTGTGCTTTGATCAGTTGACTGATTCAGTGTACTTGTCCATCACGCGAACACGGAGGTCGAACAAAGGCACTTTATAGAGAGTGGCAAGGGATCATGATTCTTGGAGGCAGGATTAGCGGCAGGATAGTTTAAATTTGTCTATATAAATACATCTCAGATGTCATGGAAAAATGCAGCGTCTACCCTGTCCCGCTCGGTAGCAGCTGCCGATCTGCCCAGTCGCAGCTGCACTTGAGAGTTCGCTGACGGGGGTCAAGTGCTCCTCTGGGGGGTGCCACCTGCCGGACCCAGAAACCGACAGTGTCCCCCAAATGGCTACCAGGTAGCCACAAACTACTTGGTATATATATATATATATTATAGGGTAGGTCACCGAAGTGGTTCAAATGGGGTATACCATTGTAGGAACCACTGGTGACTTGTAGTTGCTGGAACTATCAGGGTTGGTACTGTTAGTGCTGGATTTCGTCTTGGTGAGGTATGCATGGTCTAGGAATTGATCGTACAGTGATGTGCAGTCCCTGAACAATGACAAGGAGATACCATATGTATCCATATGTATTCATATGTCAAATGACCATTCACAGCTAAACCGCCGCTAAACCGTTTAAAGTCCCAAATCCATCCAAATCCGAAGTGGACATGCACTCAAAAGGGAAGGGATGTTCTTCCAGCCTCTTTCATCTACCTGAATGCTTGTCCCTATCCATATCATACCTGTCTGAACGATGTTGCCAATATTTCAGATCAATTGAGCCGTGCTTTTTTAAGGTAAAGTGACTATACACTGCTGAGCCTACGCTGGGGGTTTCGGAGGGTCAGAATTTGTGGGAATGGTGGCTTCACAAGGTTTCGCACAACGCCAGAGGCTTCACGAATAGGTTTTGCGAATTAGTTTCGTAACCTTTTCATAAACCTAAGTTAGCCTTCGCGAGTTGTTCTTCTCCTGTGTGAAATCCAAGAGCCTACGCCAGAGGCTTCGCGAGCCTTCACCACACACAATGTATCACGCAAATGCCTTCGCAAACAATTAATTTACAGTCTAATCTAAATTCTATCAGTCAATAACAAAACGCTCCTCAAATGGGCGGTGCCCGTCCCAAATTCAAAGCCGTGCCTACAGTAGACTCCTGTTCTAGGTGAACATCGTCGTTAAAGCACATGCCCCTTTGGTGGCACACATGGCCAAAGGCAGAGACAGCCAAACTATGCCAAACTCATAAAACAGCTTGGTCTCCATGGCCCCTTTTGACCGTTGCACGACTAGACCGACAGGTCCGTCGTAACATGTCATGCTCGTCCCAAAGAAGGAAGGTTCTTTCCATGTGTGAGTCAACCCCCACCAATCAGGTGCACTCCCAGCACTCCCCGCACCAGTAGGTTGGCACTGAGATCCCCGAAGGCAACCTCATGGCCGCCTGGCGTTTGTGTCTCGTGCGTCGAAGGAGCGACCGGGTGAGGTGTGCCGATGGACTTTCACCGGCAGGACGGAGCAAGTCCAACATCGGGGCAAGCAGCTTCACCGCACTCTGCGTGTCTTTCATCGTGTATGCCTGAAACACCTCCGCACATGTCAAGATATGTCAAGGTCATGGTGATTCGATGGGACGCGATCCTTCCCATGCGGCAGTCCGTGCGATCTCCGCGATCATGATGGAACTGGATGGAAAGTGGTGTAACTGTCGTTGACCCTGTGAACATGTTGACTGGGTGTGAACAGTGTAATTAACATATATAAATACTATTTGTTTGTTTAAATTTACATCGGATAAATCTAATAGCTTAAACTCTCGATGTTGCTTCAACCCCTCACGTGAAGAGGTGTTTGAGACTCCAAACAAAAAGGGTCGGTCTGCATGGAAAATCAAGAGTCGACAGTCTACATGCGGACCACTCTCACCTCCCGCCAATCGGCTTCGGCAGGACCACGCGAGCTGCGTCGTGGGATGGAGGGTGGGGGAGGCGCGTCCATGGCGATGTGGAGAGGTCCCGGTTGGGCAACTCAATTCCTTTTCGGCTGCTACTAGTTTGCTTTAAAGTGATCTTGCAATCAGCAATTTGTTTGGTTGATCACGCAAGATTGGGCTGCACAGCCCTCCTCTGCACACCTAAAACTGAGGTCTTCGGTGGAAAGCGGCCAAACCCAGGCCCATGATCAATCAGCACATATAGCAATTAATCAGTCTCAGTGTAACATAGTGTAACTAATATATTAATAGACTAAATTGATTGAGAGAGATTGAGGGAGACCGCTAGCTTCTGAATTTGCTTTCAGGTCTTAGGCTTGGAATCATGTGGAAGTTTCTTCCAAATAAGGTTTGCCAATGTGCGGTGAAATGATTGATATGATTTGTAGCATCTTTGAGCTTGATGGGCTACACGGGCAGCAATTAAAAACCACACTGTTGGAGTGCACTGGAGCTTCAGAAGGTGCAAAAAACACAATATGTAAGGGGTAGGGCCTCCAGCACAGACCTGTAGCACATCACATCACACCCACACTATGTGCGTACATGTGCGCAATGTGGCAATGTGTATATATGTGTGTGTATGTGTGCCGCTCCGTGTATTGTGTTGCTTTATGATGGTTAAATCGGGGAGGCTACAGGCTACTCATTCTTTTGCAAAGACTCACCCGCCCAACTCTGAGTTTGTACCCATTCATGGCTCCTTCGCCAAACAGTCTATGGTCTGCGAGCTCTCTTTCATGACATCTGAGACCATCTGGGAAGGGCCTGTTCTTTTGGCCCTTGGCTCAAGCCGTATGGTTGCCTTGTGGCCTTTTTGGTGTTGCGCCTCTTTGAATCTGTCAGAATCTCAAACCCTTCGAGGATCCCGAATGGCTCGAGTAGATGGCACACGTCCAGTGTGAAATCCGTGTCACATCTGGGATCTAGTGTCATCTATTCAGTTATATAACTTCACATACCTACTGTGATGCGCTGTGAATTCCTACCTAAACTGTGATTGAACACTATACTGTAACTATACTGTATATAAACGCAAATAACAATATATATTATATACTCTTCCAAGGCCTCCTTGGGTATAGCTCGCAACCCTGTTACACAACTCTCCTGGAATCATTAGGAACCCCGCTCGAAGTTAGGAGCTTGTGGTTGTAAAGAGACCTGTTCTTTTTTGGGTTTCGGCCCTCCACCATCACACCAACCAAGCCAAAAACGGTTCGATGTGCCTTTAGAACAACGGCCATGAGAAAAGGATGCTGATTCGCGATGGACACGATGAAGTACAATGAGCTTTCACCAACTAACTCGTGCTGCTGTACTATGATAAAGTTCCTCGAACTCCACCTCTTCGACCACGCCCTCGCGCCGTCACCCTCGAGCGGGTTCACGCGGACCCTTTGTCCAGCCGATTCCGCTTTCGGCCTCTTCCAACTGAGACGGCAACCGCCCAGGTGGTCCTCCCCAGTCCCAGCCTTCAAGAGGGCGAACCACACGAGCGAACCGCACAATCAGTCTCGGTTTACAGGTTTCTCCAGGTGATGCTGTTTTTCGTCAGATCTCTCAAAATGGAGCTGGCCAATTCTTCTGTCGTGGTCCAATTTCATCCAGGTCGTGCTGGAGTGATCTTCAGGTGGATAGAAGGGATATGCTCAAGACATTAAATAGGTCTCGTGTACCAGCACTGACTCCCACCTCCCCTCCCTGGAAAAGAAAGGTAAACATAGGTCAAGTTTGGGTATATAATGGCTGGTAAAGACCTTTCTCTAAAATAGTGCAAAATAGTGACAATATGTTAACTACTGTTGCTGATACTGGTCCACTGGTATTGGGCTACACCCTGGGTCAATCCTGTTCTTCCTTTTTCCACCTGTTCGTATTGTTCGTTCTTAGAGGGAAATCCATATCTCACAAAAAGGTTAAAGGTTATCCACTTTTCCTGGGTAGGGGCATGTCTTGATACCTTAAAGCACCTCATCACTTCTTGCAGGCTGGGATCTCTATAGATACGAAGCAAACATTGAGCTTCCCAGACTGAGAAGCGTCATTGGCCTATCAGGCGTATGCGTCAGCGGCGCAGTCACCACCTGCCATGCGGTTGGAACGATCCCTAGAAACAGGACACGGTAGGACGCCAGGAATTTGCCCAGTTTGCACCAGAACTCCCTTGTGGATTGCGCATGTTTCCCAATTCAAACAATGTAAATGACATGTTCAAACATGCATGTAAAACGCCAAAGGACCAGTAGAGCACTTGCATCCTAAGGAAACTAATCTACAGTTGTTTTATCTATCGTTCTTCCAGTAGTTCGTGGGATATCGATGAGCATATCTCTCGTCCAGTATGTGTTTAATTTCAGAAAGCCAGCACGTCAGGCTAGGACTAGGACTTTTGCGCCCAAAATTCATCCAACGTCCACAGAACTCCACCGGCGCAACTCCACCTGCCTAGTGAAGTTTCACTCCTTGGCACAGGGTGCTGGAAAACACGGAAACGTTGTCATCTTGTCGCAAGTGGGGCCCTGTCCACCCCTCACTAGAAGAAAGACTGCTTGTTGGGGGCCGGCAGTTGTGACCAGAGTTATGGAAGTGTCGAGAAGGCCGTGCCATCATTGATATAAGAACATCGGAGTTCCAACAAGTATATAATGTTGGATCCTGATTAGTAATAGGGTCCTCTATAATGCTAAATGTTCAACCATAATTCTGGACACCATGTTTTTTTTAAGGGTCCTGTATTATGCTATTGTTTGGGGATCCTAATTGTTCATGATATGAACATAATTAAGGTTGCAATCCTTCGGAGACCTGTGAATACTAAGTCACTGACTGGTCTGCTGAGATTATTGATAAGTATGGGTGTCTCGGTGTCTCTAATTCTACTTCAAAATTGACAGCTTTCCAAAGCCATCAACTCCTTAATCAATCCTTTATGTGAGGATTGCTCCTAAATAAGTTTTCCAGGTAGTAGACTAAGAAGGCCGCTCATCCTCAATAATAAACTTGTTTTGGCGGCCCTCAATTGTGCAAAGTGTTTTTCCTGGAAAAGCATAAGCATAGTTTTTCTTAATACTACTAAGCCAATGACTGGCTTGCTGAAACTATTGGTAAGTATAGGTTTCTCTATTTCTTCTTCAAATCCACAAAGAACCTGAGAACCTTCCTTGTCCTTTTCTTAGTAGTATGAAAGGATTGCTGAGAATATCTAATTACAAAGAACCTGAGAAAGAAAAATGTCAAATGAATACTACAATCAATTACAGTACAAAAGGAATCCTCCCAGGAACCCAATGTGTTTTGGTGGTAGTTTATTGTAGAGGGCCTCCAATTTGATTAGAGGGAGGGGTGACCCCTTTTACTAATCAGGATCCAACATTACACTTGATGGATCTTGACTCTGAAATACCAAAGGCATAAATTCAACGGGATCTATGACATGTTCATGGCATCAGAACCCTAAAACAGGCCGCCGCAAACTCGCTGTCGGCCGGCCCCTGAAAGCTTCTTACAAGGTCTCGTCCCCGCAAAGAGAGGATTCTGGATTCATCTGGATACTGGATTCTCACCTTCTTGCAAACATGACGGGGTAGACCAAACGTCACCTCTTCTCGCCCACGCCGGCGATGAGCATCGCTGCCGAGGGTCGGGGACCACTGCCACCTCCGTGGCGCCTGCGCCCTTGTCGTCCGTGTAGACCTCAAATGGTCAAGGAAAGAAGGGGATCGGTTTTGGATCGGTTTTCTTCTTTCTTCTTTGGCATGGAAAAGGGTGCTCCATGTTGGCCATTCTCTCAAGTTTCAAGCGAATATATTGGCGCTGTTCTTATGATTCTAGTGGTGTTGGCATTGGAGTGGTTCAAGAAAGGTCCCCTTAACATAACTGTTCGCAAGAGAAACCGGCAGGCTTTGGATGGTTATCCACGTTGATGCTGATGATGCAATAATTATTATATTAGATAATGTGTCATTATCCCCTCGGACAGTGGTTGACCACGGGGTGACCAACGCTGGGCGGGGCATCAATCCCAACGATACATTTACCAACAAACAACAGCAATTATGAACAATTTTATTGAACCGTTGGACCTGGCAATTCGTCGTCATAGCGTTGTCCCAAGCAATCATGCAAAAAAGATCAAAAAGACAATGTTAGTTTCCTGTTTTCCCCATTTGCCCTGACGAGCACGCGCCACCATTGGGGAGTGGCAGCGTTTGTTTTGGGAGGCATTTGGTGTGGAACGATTTTTAATGTCCTTTTATGTCATTTTCCCGATGACTTGAATCCTCCAGTCACCTGGTCGCCTTTCAGGGTCACCGGACCATCGCTGACCCTTCGCAGCTAGCTTCCCTGCGAAGGGTTCACCTTTGTCGCACCTGTTCTGGTTGAGTGGGGAAACCACTCCCCAATAAAGGTTCAGGTTGTCCACTTGTCCTGGGGAGGAAAGCAAACAATTGAGACATGACTCGACTGACCCTGTAAAAACGGGTATGAGTATCGTACCCTACATCACGCTGTAAAACCCGCCACCATCGCCGACTCGAGATCTCTTGCACTTGAGATGAGGATGAAAAACCATGAAAAACCAACTCCAGCAGAATTCAACGGACACATGGAAGGCAGCTACACCTGAAGACGCTCCCAAACTGGCCAAACTGATCTGGCCATGGCCTGGCTTTGTGCATGTGTGCCGCAAATGTGCTTCTGCTTGTTTTATCTCAATCCACAACACTCATGTTTAAGTCCAGTATACGGGGTGGTTTCCCTCACTATGATCAGTCAGCACTCTGGATTTGCCAACACTGGTGGTGTACCTCATTCCATGGTAATCACCGTGACTTTCAATTAAATATAGAGGTCTTCGAGGACAAGCAATGCGAACGCTTCCGCGATAGTTATAGAGATCTCCGGCTGCCTCCGCCAAGCCGCTGTGAATGTCACCTTCTTCCCCGGCTCAGGGCGCAAATTCCACTCGCAATCCGCCTCAACACTGGAGCGACGATCTGGGAGACCCTTCTGAAAGGTGCCAGCTTCTTCAAAAGAAGCCCTTTTGGGCCTGCAAGTGAGCAAGTGACTGGGCTAAGTGACCTCAAACTGGCAAAAGGTCCACTTTGAAAAACCAGGTGAAGGGTGTTTCCACAAGGCCTTTGTTCGGGGGTTGATCTTTGACAGAACCTTGAACAACGAAAGGTGTTCTTCAAGCTGGCTGGAATAGGCTTGACATCTATTGTATACATCGAAGTGCGTGGATGCAAGCGGCTGCAAGCGGAGCCCAGCACGGCTTTGATCGTCACCATGCACAAACAGTTGGAGGTGGAGATGAGATGCCTAGGGCTTATCAGCCTTACCACCGATCAACCCTGGTGTTGGAAGCACTAGAGTTGGTATCACCATACCTGGTGATAGCCTTATCAAGCCTTATGGAGGGTGGATCAGCCTTATCAATGTTGGCCGTCCTACCACCGATCGACTCGTCCAAAAACCGCTCCCAAGGGCCATCCGGGTTGAGCGCCAATCCGTGGCGCCCGGTGCTACCGCGACGGATGGATGGTTGTTGGCGCCCCTTTGCCACACCGAAATCAAAAGGAACCAAACCATCGTCCTGGGCAGCGGCTTTCTTCCCCAAAACACACAAAAACCGCACACCAAACCAAGGCACCACGGCTGGCTCCGCACACAACTCCAATCAACTCAAAGGCTACACGCGATTCGCACAGATTCCGGTGCTTTCGTGCCTTGCGGAAGTACAGAAGCTTGTCATCACTTTTTGTCTCTCCTTCCTTGGCCTGACAGCTGAAACCGCAGCTGATGAAATCTGCACTCGGTGTGGCATCCGCCAAGCCATGGGGCTGAGGAAAGGAGCTTCAGGCTGTTCTTTGCCGCTGACACTACCGCTGCCATGTTGCCACCCGTGAGGGAAGTGAAAGCTCGTAGCTAGTTGTCATCCGATTAGGGGGCTATTAAGCATAGGCTATGACCAACAACCATTGTGAAGTCGCCCCAGCTGTGCAATTGAGACACATAGTGGGCTCTGCTTGCCTAGCAGCAGGCAGCAGCTGGACAACTTCTCCCATACATTTATTCTTATTATATACCAGTACAGTATAGACCACTTCTGTATGCACCACTACGTCACTCCGCCTTTTCGGGACATCTGGGACTCCCCTCAATTCACATTTGCAAATGGCCCGAGACATTCCAATGATGTTGAGCTTCGGGGCGCACAGTCTTTTTTGTTCACCAAGCAGGTACTGGACCACACCCTTTGAAGTCCCAATAGCTGCCACCATAGTTTGTGATCAATTCTGCTCCAGCAGCTACAGCTTGGTTGGTGCGAAAGTACATGACCCGACCTAATTCGCACATCTTCACATTCACCAGCTCACATTGATCCGGACTCTTTGCTCCATTCACGTATCTTCCCGGATTCTCCGCTTCATCTGCGAAGCTCTTGCTATCTACGCAAAAGGCCATGTCTTGCGCCTTGGGACCAGCCATCAACTCTTCCGGGGACATGTCCAGCATGGCCAGCCCATTCTTCAGTGGGCACCAGGTGTACTCCATACCTTCATTAAACTCCCGCAGTCCAACCTCGCGGTAGGTGAGTAATTGACCCATATACGGTGGCAACACACTGCCCTTGGGCAGATCTCGTCGAGCAATAACACCTGATGTCCACGCGCTTGCAGGTATCGTTTAGCAAAGAGTTTTGCAGGGTTGACACATCAACATCCAAGGACATAAAAATACAGTATGAACTACTGTATATTATAAACACGTATATAGTAGATTATAGGGGTATCGCTTTTTCAAACGTCATCTCATATGAACTCTAGATCACATGTGTTGGATAAAGCGCCCTTGTATAACAATTGTATGAAGTAAACAACTGCAATTGTGAAAACAACCCACATGCAGTAACCTCTTGCAGTATACTGATTGCCTCGCAAAGGATTCACCTGGCGGAGCATGAACGACCTTTCATGTGTTTCATCTCCATCCAAAAAACAAGAATCCACAGGTCTTTTGGTAGCAGCTCACCTTGACCCGCACCCTTCAGAGTGGAGTTGCGCACCATAATATCCTCCCTGGAGACGGGAGAGAAGCGTGGCAACTGTGCCGAGCTCCAACGGGTTCGTGGCTGCCGACCTCCATCAGTACCCAGCTCAGAGACCTCTGGTGGGACTTGGAAACCATTCGCTTCCAGGATTGCGTGGCAATCGCAAATACGGTGATCACAGGCACACCAGTCCTTCAAACAACATGCCTCGCACGTCTCAGCTGAGTTCGCTGCCGAGTTCGCGGAGTTCGTCACCAGCAGGACGGCGCCAGCTCCGATGAGACTCTGCCGTCGAGTCACAGCACTTGGTGGGACGAAGCTCCGTAAAAACCGCTGGCACAGCCAAACGGCACACACGGCAGTGAAGCGAGAGAATGGTCTGTGACGCATTGGGCACAATCTGAATCTTGAGCCTGACCACGGCGGCCGGGCATGACATCCGCTTTCAAGAGCTCTGTTCTTAACATGCCAACCTAGCTGAACCTACAGCCACCTATTGACAATCAAGGCTCTTGACACAAAATCTCAACAGTCTCTGCGGATGTAAACTGCCGTGAGGAGCTTTGCAACTGTATACTATATTTGGCAGGTGGGCTACAAGTACCTGGCTGTGGGTGTGCAACTCCTCACTCGGTCGATCTCATCTCTCGTCCGCCTTCGCTGCAGCCTGTGCTGCTGCTTCAGCCAGCTTTTGCTGGACCTGGGTTGGAGAAATTCACCGGATGGAAACCCGACCGGGTTTTAGGAAAAAGGGGCGAGTTTCAAAGAAACCTAACCCCTAACTCTCCAAAAATCAAGACCGTCCATGCCTCTCCAGCCGTCCAGATTGGCTCCCCGAAACTTATGGACCTGTCCATCGCCGCTGCTCGTCGCTGAAAGGAACCCAAAGGACACGGAGCCTCGGAGCCTCGGGTCTCCTGGCCACTGCTGGGAGCGCAGAGCTATTGTCCGGAAGGATGTGGCCCCATCCCTGCCACCTGGCGACCGTCGCAGGGATGGGCCATGGGCGATGGAAGGAGCGGCGCTCCTAGTGGTCACTTCTTGGGCGGGGCGAAGTAGATGCGAGTAGTGTTGCGAGGAGACATCGAGGGGGGATGGACGAAGATCGTAGGGTCTTTCCTCATCAAGTGATGGAAAGACTAATCCAAGCTATCTTCACATAATTGATGTACGTCAGTGCGTGAATGTCATAGATGCTCTGTTGGACCAAGCCAAGCTGAATGCAAAACGACTGACTGACACTGTGTTTCGCACTTCCCGCTTTGTATCACTTGGTCTGTCATGGTCGAAGAAAGGTCCTCTTGGATCTCTTGGTCAGTTGCTGCACAAGGAAGGCGGTGTGAGGACCACCCAACATCACCGTCACCCATGTCACCCATTTAAAACTGCGAATCTCGCTGATTACGGCGTTGTTCGGGAAGCTGGAAAAAGGGATCTGTTAAAAAGGGAGCACTGCAAACACTGCCATCTGCCGGAAGATTGGGGCGTTCACCGAGGCCCTGCCCTTCTTCTCCGCAGGAGCCGCAAAACGTGCAAAACGGCCGAGTGAGAAGACTCAGTTCACCGGGCACACGGACCGATGCCACCATTGCACCGTGCCAGTAAATCGCTCTCCTCGGCCGCACCCGAAAGGGACGACCGTCACCGGACCTCCCAGCGGAAGACCCAGCGAATCGGAGGGGTGCCGGGGGGCGGGTCGTGCCGGACAAGACGTGCTGTGACATGCTGCCTGGTACAGTTGAGCAGAGATGCATGCTTTTAAGAGGTGGTGGTGTTAACATCCTTGGCTGCCTACGTAGAAACATGTAGAAACCCTATACGGCTTGTTTACGTTTCCAAGGTTAAAGCCTACGGCAAACATGACTTCTTCTAAAACACCTATGCAAAAACTACGAGCGTGGGTGTGAGGAATAGGTATGTATATATAAATATATGGATAGATATATAGTTAATATATATATAACTTCATTTTGCCTACGGTGCCATGTAGTTCTTGCAAGTCTCCCAATGTCTTCGACATTAGGAGCACGTCTCAGCACAGCAGGTTTTAAGATATACAGTGAGTCACTACTTGAGACAAGCGGACATGGAGGAAGGATCTCGAAATGCATTTCCCCTCTTCCTACAGGCTTGGTCCTATGTTGCGGTGGCCGGGTTGTTTTATATTGTTTCCTTTTTACTCCCGCCCTGGGCAGACACATGCTGCCTTGATCAACTACTGGCATTCCAAAACACTTCGTAAAACGACCTTGATCAATTGGAGGCATGGCTCAATGACTACATCAGGAGGAATCATGCCATCGACATATGAGCAACTATGAATAAACTATACTGAAATTTCAGGTTGGGTAGAAACGCCGCTGGCTGAAAACCTCGCTTTATGGCCCCATCGGCCTTTTCATGGCCTTTCTGTCAACACGTGCCAATTGTTCCTGTATTTTCAGGCTCAACCACTAAAATACAGTCAAATTCCGCTAAGCTGCAACTGCTAGCGCTCCTTTTTGTCGCGATGAGCTGCGTGCTTGAGCCAAGAATTGGCATGGTGCGTAAAAGCTTAGCTTTAGGTGATGTATTTCAACACCCCCCTCTGCTTTCGCAAGCGACGCGCGAATTAGCAGCTATGATCGGGCTAAGCCGTGATGCCAGCGTGAGTCTTCTTTTAAAGATCACTCTATGGCACACGCTTCAAATGCATGCATGCAGCTCGAATTTAGTAGGATCGCCAGTTCCCAGTTGACCACCGTCCATAGTAGTCACGCGTCCACCACTGCCCTTGATAGAAGGTGTAGTACCCCCAGCGATCGCCATCTCGATACTCTCGGGCAGCAGCGCGAGCTGTGCGGAGAGCTCCCTCTCTTGCATCTCTCACAGGCACGGACTTCGATGTTGTGGTAGATGCTGGTGAAGGGATCGGTGGCGTCTTTGGTGCAGGTGGGTGCTGCAAGGTAGTTGGTGGACTTGGTGGGAATTTTGCCGTAGGCATCTGGCGAATGTCGATCTGGCCAATCGCATTGTAGCCAGCACTGGGTGAACTTTCGCCTTCCGGTTCAGCTGCTGGGGTAGCCCTCTGGCTTGGTGCAGCCTTTGGCGGTGTCTTTGGGGCAACAGCGTGAGCATTGCGTACAGAGGCGGCGACATGTGCTCTGCTGGCCTTTCCACGGCCCTTGGCTGCATTCCTTTCAGCTGCTCGTTCACTTTGATGACGCTTGTTTTGCACAAGCTGTTGAGCGAGTGGCAATGAGCTGTCAATGGTTTCGTGAAGCTCTCTCATGGATGGTGTCTCAACGATCTCCATGACGCAGGTAAAGGTCAGCAAATTGGTACCTTTGCCACGGGTCTTGCGGTGATCGCAGAGGTCCTGGAACTCCTTGAGCGAATAGAGCTCACGCTGCCAGATGATCACCCAATGAGAGTGCTCAAAGCGTTCCAAGAGGCCTGGGTCGCTGCTGGTGATGTCCGCAATGTCTTCATCCACATACATCAGTTTTGCGAAATCCAGGTCATTTGCGGTCCGCGTTCCCACTCCAAGATCAACCTGAGCACGGGTGCGTGGGGGCAGTCTCGCAGTTGAATGTCGAGCAATGTGATGTTGTGCTCGGTCATCCGCTCCACAAACTGCACGTCGTTTTCGTAGCGGTCAGCCATGGATGTATATCCTAGGCCGATGGCTCTCTTCAACTGCTGTCTTGCAGTTCCGACGTAGTCGCCTTCAGGGCTGCGATTGCCTCGGGCAGATTCCTCGCGGAACTGCTTGCTCTGGCTGCCGATTCTCTCGATGGTGTCAGCATCAAGATACTTGTAGCCGAGCTTGTTGAGCAGCTCCCTTCTCTTTGCGAGGATGCCACGCTTCACCTCAGATGTGCCCGTGATGTTCGTATTGCATGCAGGGCACACAATCGTGCCACTGACGAGGTTTGCGCCACATCCTGGACACATGACTTCCTCAGTGGGGATGTTTTCTCGCTGGGCTTCCTGAGGCGGCTCTGGAACAATGACCTCCACGTCTTCCTCGGCTTCTGGCTCTTCACCTTCCGGGCGCTCCCTCTTTTGGGTCGGTACTGGTTCCATCACGACGTCAGCGCTTCCTGCTGAACTTGCCGCTGGCGCAGTCGAGGGCACTCCCTCGCGGGATGCTTGCTGCGCTTTGGGAACGGCTCTCGTCGCATTGGACCTTGACCAGAGGATGATGTCCTTCTCGGTGTCCCGAATGTGGACAATATATGCGCTCGAAATGTTGTAGGGCGACAGCACAGCACCGGATTTGGTGGTAAAGCAGATCAGGCCGTCGGCTACTGCTTCACGGAGAGCAATCACCTCCCTGGCACCACTTCATTCTGGCGGATCTGACTCCGTGCCAGATATATGTGGGCTCTGCCGGAATTGCGCCGGGCTCCACCGCCAACAAGTAGGCCGTCCTGTTGTATTCCTTTGATTGCGGCATGAAACGTGCGGTGGTAGGCATGGCGGGAACGTCTTCAATGCTTTCCATCACCGGCACACCAGTGCCACGGAAGCTGGAAAGGTCTCTTCCGGCATCCTGGTGCCTGACGTAGATAACGTCTGCATTGAAGAAGAGGTCACTCTCCGATCGGATGAACTGATTGTTGTGACCTGATGCCGTGCGGATCTTCAGCGGCCAATAGGTCTGATTGATCGCTGTCGCTCGCTGATAGCCAGCGATGGCAAGGTACTCAAAGCGGTCCTTGTTATCGAGCTTCCCCATATGCATGAGATCTGTTACCTTCATCTTGGCCTCGGGCAGCTCTGCAAAGAGTGCGCTAACGAACTGGTTCAGATCGAGAAATCGATCCTCATCGTGCTGAGTGTCCCAGTCGTTGGTGGTAATATTCCCACGCAGAATGCCGGAGGCTCTGGTCAGGTGGCTTTTGAGCCATTGTGGTAGGCGATACCATCGGGGAGGTGGTTCGAAGCTCCAACCGCTTATGAGAATAAGTTCATAAGGGTGGCCATCGACAATCACACCAGGCACGACCTTGCCGTGTACATCCTCCACCTCGGTGTACCGATACTCGGCCTGACCTGACAGGTGGTGGTTGACGATGTACGTCTCCTCGAACTGGCTGTCGAGGAGCATCGTCTCCCACTCCTCCTTCGTGATGCGCCCCGCACGAAGGCTCTCCTTCTTAGGAGCGGATGAAGCCGAGGGCATTGCCTTTGCCTTTGGGCTAGCCGGTGATGGCTGCACAGAGTGCGCAGCTTCGGCTTCTGGCGCGGGCTCCTCTTCATCATCACTTTCCTCCTTCACTGCAGTGCGGGCGATCATCACAGGTGGAGCGTCATCGTCATTCATGGGATCATCTGTCTTGGTGGCCACGGCAATAGGGAGCTCCATGATCTCATCCTCTTCCAAATACTCGTCGAGATCGGGCTGCTCACGGCGAACCTCTTCGACGGTCAATGGCCTTGAGGCTGCTTCAATGCGCTTCCTATTTTCCTCCCTTCGGTGGATCACATCAATGACAGCTTGTCTGTACTCCTCACTGGCTGGCGTGAACGGGCTTAGACTCGCGTCTAGCACGCGTAGGTCTCTCTTCCCGTTCCGCTGATTGGCCTCATTCATCCCATGGAGGTGGGGCGAGAGAATGGCTGATAGATGGAGGATGTAAAAGTTGGCATTAAACCAACTTAGGACACGTGACTGATTTTTGTCACAAAACGTCATGTGAAACTGATCCTTCAACTCCATCTGCCACAAAAGCGGATCCAGATCGATGATCACGACGTCCGGTTCCGCAAAGGTCTCTCTAAACCAGCGCTTGATGTCCCTGCCGAAGTGCGTGTAAATGCTATGCAGCTCGTAGATGCTTGCATTTGGGATACACGACACGGCTAGGACATTGCATCCAGCTTTTCGACCCTGCTCGACGTACCAAGTCAAGTGCCTCTTGGTGTCGGCTTCGATTTTGATTGGGTCGCCCTTTGCCTCCGTGTAGGGATATCTGTTTGTAGACACGATCCCGTTCTCACCCACGAGCTCGTTGCCGGCCCACACCACGTTCACATAGATTCGGGCATCGGGCACATCCTTGCGGATGGCTCTTGCGCAAATGATCGCGCGTTTGATGAGCGTCCGCAGCTCAGCACCCCAATGCATTTCGTGGTGAAATTGTAGCACATGCCGGCATCGATTGTCATGAAAAGCTCGCTCCAAATCATGGCGTTGGCGGGTCTTCTTTCCGCCTGACACCATGGCCAGTGTACTGTCGCTGATCAGCACTTGGTACACTGGGCCTGTCACTGCTGACGGCGGGCGATGATAGGCTAGGCTGCTTCGCTTGGCCTCAATGAATGGGTTTAGAATGTGTTGAACACACTCATAGCTCTCACGCCACGTGTCGACAACGGATTGCGCCGTGTGGTCGTGAGCCAAACCAAGAGCCATTTCCTGGGCTCCTTGGTCTTGCCCGACATCAGCAAAGATGGAGCTCGTCAGCAGCCGCTGAAATAGCGTATCCCACCCACGAAGAATCTCCAGCTGGTGCTCGGAATAGTGACGTTCCGGCTGGGCCATGGTAGGTGCTGGATAGCAAGCGACTGCACGAATGGGCTTGGGCCGTGTAAGCTCTACGGCGCGCGAACAAAATGCACCGTGC